GACGCGGTCTGTGTTGGTGAGGAATGAGATGTTTAGACCATGGGCAAGCGAGAGTTCACGTACGGGGAACAAGGTAGTGTCATATATAACAACACTTAGCGAGTTTGTCGCGGGATAGTGAGCAGAGATGGAGGTACGAAGACGACGAAAGGTTCGAGCCTGAGGAGAGCGCAAGCATCTGTCAGCGGATCCCATGACCCCGGCAGGAGCCGAGTTCAGGCACATTTACGTGGGATGTGAAACCAGAGCCATTTTCAAGTGTCGAATTCACGAGCGCAAGACCCACTACTAGCGTAGCGGGAATACTACGAGACTCCATATCATTGTGGGAAGATATATAAGAGGACAAGGTGCGGTCATAACGTGATTTATCAGGAGCCCCAATAGGCGCGAGCATGTATTGATAATGATAGGTAGGACGCTTCAGGTACAGTGGTCTTGCAGTCTCCCTCAAGCTCCCCGAAGATCCTGACTGAGTGATCTACGCGCTACTTTTGAAACCGGTGACGCCAATACCTCGTTCCCCATCTCTTATCCTGACCGTCCCATCGCACGGCATCCGGGCCCAACAGCGCTTTCAGAGCGGCAAAGTCGTCCTCTTTAAAATCGCATCGAGAGATGGTAACCTCCCTGATCGGTGAATCGTCCTCTAACGTCCACATGAGTTCGTCCATCAAGCCTATAATCACGAGGAAGTCCAGCTCTTCCACGTACAGCCGTTCAAGGGCGGGTAACGGACATGGGCGTGCGGAGAGGACTTCGGCACATAAGACTCGTAGGTGGTCCGCCATTGTGGAGATTCGAACCTCACGCGCACGCGCGAAAAGACGTATGACGTCAGGGTACCTTTTCCAGAATTTGGCTTCGAAGTTGATGGAGAAGGCATTGGCGAATATCGGAAGGGTGAGCCAGGTGTTCATGAAGCGTCGTGCGCGGAGACGACGCCCGTGCTTGTCTCCGTCGCCCCACAACGCCGGGGCCAACTTGAATTCGTCCGGTAGAAGGTCGGATCCTGACGAGGAAGAGGAAGAGCGATCGTGCTTGGGCGATTCGAGTTGTACGTCGCCGTAAGGATTGATGATGAGCGAGTGGAAGCATGCGCCTTGCGCGATCGCGTCAGAGAAGTGGCTTCGTAGAGCATCCGCAAATAACGCGTTCAAGTCGTCGATGGGCCCGTCTTGGCTGTCTTCCTCGTCGAAGGCCGTCCGGCCACCGCTTATGCGTAAACGCGTCTTCGCAGGCAGGGATAGGTAGCTGAACATGAGCATGTTCTGGAGGTGGGAGCCATCGAGATGTAGCTCCTTGAGCTTTGGCAAGTTTGCGCAGCGTATTGGATGGATACGAGAACGAGAGGTGTCGAAGGTGAGCGGGAACGATTCGTCGATGCGACCGGAGTTGTACCAGCGGAACGATTGAAGATGCGGGACTGCCTGTAGGCATTGGATCATCTCATCTACATTCTTCCATACGTGGACATCGCGCAAGTGAAGGTGCGTGAGAGCAATTGATAAGAGACCGCTCGTCGCCAGAGACGGGATAACGCAGCATTCGAGGTCGATATCGCGTAGTTTGGGCATAGACGCTCCGCGGACAAATTGGCGGGGTAGTGTGGGGACGTAGGGTAAGTACCACTCGTCGCATCTGCTGAGGTCGAACGCAGCATGCATGACTTCGAGGTTCGGGGTAACGCGTTGTGAGAGGTAGTCGAGGACCTCATCGACAGCGTCCCAGCGGCTTTCTACGGCCTCGTCGCTTTCGCCCGGAATTTTGAACAGCACGTCCATGGCGAGGCAAACGCTGCGGAGGCGGTGGATATGAGGGATGATGACCCGGATAGATGGCATGCACTCGATCCAGGAGGGTTTCGTGTCGGGAATGACCACATCCAGCGCTGTCTTCTTCGAGCGCTCGAGGCAAAGCTCGGTCCATTTGGCGTTGATGCGAGGGACGGTAGACCATAACCCGGGAGCAGCGAGCGCTAGACGTCGCCAGCGCTGGCAGACATGCGACACTGAAAGTGCGTTGCATACAGTCCAGTCGTCGCGCTCCAGAGTGTGTTCGAACACCATGAGCAGAAGTTCGTTGGGAAGACTGTTGACGCCCATGACTGGTGCGTTGGTAACGGTGGTGGCCATTCTGGGCGAGTTTCTGGCACGCAGATCCCGCTGGGGGGTGGATAGTGAATGTCCTGCGCCTATATATACGTATACGGGTGCCTGGTTGTGGTTTAGCACAGTGTCGTGATGGTGGTTAAGAGCGAAGAACCGCACCTCACGTGGCGCATGGGGAATACATGCCAGGCTGTGCAATTGACTACTTGACAGAGAGCCACTACAAGATGCTTCACAATATCGCTATCATGAGTGATCCGTTCAAGAGATGAAGCAGGTCCATCTCCTGTCACGAGGCTCTACAACTGCATCCTCACAACGGCACAAGTCCATGTCGCAAGTCCGACGGAGTAAGCGGAAGGATATATATGTGATAGACGATTACATGTCATAACAGCACGGCAGCTACTAGCTGTCACCGATACAAATGACGCCAACCAGAAAGCGGATGATGATGGTCAGAAGCAAGCAGGCGACTACGCCACGCGTGGGAAGGCGTACCTAGCGCGCTGCGTATCCGCGGGCGGCGCGCGCGTCCGAAGAGAGTCAACGACTTGCCTCTTCCCTGCAACCAACGACCCGGGTTCTGTTTAGAACCCTTGTAAGCCTCTGAAGTATGGTGGAGGCAGCTGTGACCGTGGTGGAGGAGGGCAAGATGCTGAGCGAGGCGCTGAGCACGGTCAAGATCCAGGTCCAGCAGATGAAGCGGCACTTGGTACGTCCGATATACAGTTTCGGTGTATTGTGAGCTTATATTGGATTATGTAGGAGCTTGACCAGCTTATGGACGCGCTGAAGAGTGCGAGCGTGATGCTGGCAGAGCTACGCACGTCTTCGCTCTCTCCGAAGCAGTACTACGAACTATGTACGCGTCCAACTTGAAACGCGCGTCTATTGATACTTATATTCCGTAGACATGGCCGTATTCGACGCCCTGCGATACCTATCCAACTATCTCTACGAAGCGCACACCTCCTCGCGCCACCACCTGGCAGACCTGTACGAGCTCGTGCAGTATGCGGGCAACATCGTCCCGCGACTGTACCTGATGATCACCGTCGGCTCGGTCTACATGTCCATCCCCGACGCGCCAGTCAAAGAAATAATGAAGGACATGATGGAGATGTCGCGTGGAGTGCTGCACCCCATCCGCGGTCTATTCCTCAGACACTACCTCTCCGGCCAGACGCGCGACCATCTCCCTATCGGCTCCGATGCAGGGCCCATGGGCAACCTCCAGGACTCGATCACTTTCGTGATTACGAACTTTGTGGAGATGAACAAGTTGTGGGTGCGCTTGCAGCACCAGGGCCATTCGCGCGACAGGGAGAAGCGCGAGATGGAGAGACGCGAGTTGAGGATTCTCGTCGGCACGAACCTCGTTCGGTTGTCGCAGCTCGACGGCGTGGACCTCGAGATGTACCAGACGACTATTCTGCCGGCTATACTCGAGCAAGTCGTACAGTGCAAGGACGTCATCGCGCAAGAGTACCTCATGGAAGTCGTCATTCAGGTCTTTGCCGACGACTTCCACTTGCATACCCTCGGACCCTTCTTGAGCGCTACGGCACAGTTGCAGCCGAAAGTCAATATCAAGCAGATCGTCATTGCGCTTATTGATAGGCTGGCAGCATATGCGGCGCGTTCAGCGGAGAATGAGGATCCGGAGGAGACGAAGAGGCAGGAGGAGGCGGCTGCGCGGAGACTGGCGGAGCGTGTCAAGGCTCAGCGGTCCCGAGCGCGCTCGTCGACTGGCGGCGCTACGAGCCCTACCACTGAGTACGGTCACTCTGACGTCGACGGATGGGGATCGTCCGCACCGACTAGCCCTACCGTACCTTCGACGCCTGCTGTGACGAATGGAGACGCGGATGGAGATGCTGAGAAGAAGGATAAGGGGAAGGAGGTCCCGCCCGAGCAGGTCCGCAAGTTCCGCGGCGTACCGGAGAACGTGAAACTGTTCGAGGTATTCTGGGAGCAAGTCGTACAGCTCATCAAGGTATATCTTCATATCACCCATCTCTATCTCGCACGAACACTGATTGAATGCGTCGTTCGAATAGGCCCGACCAGATCTCTCCATCCAAGACGTCACTGCCCTCCTCGTCTCCCTCACGAACCTCTCCCTATCCTGCTACCCCGACCGCCTCGAATACGTCGACCAAGTCCTCGGCTTCGCCCGCCAGAAGGTTGCCGAGTACAAAGACAGCGCGGACCTGCACTCCCAGCCAACAACCGCGAACCTCGGCGCTCTTCTCCTCGCCCCGATCAATTCATACACATCCGTTCTCACGCTCCTCGCTTTACCGAACTACGTCCCGCTGCTCAACGCACAGCCGTACCCGACACGGAGAACGCTCGCGCACAGCATCGTGTCGTCGGTGCTCAAGAACGAGACGGTCATTGAGGCGCCTGAAGACGTCGATGGGATCCTCGAACTCTGCGGCGTGCTCATCCGCGAGCAGGCAGACGCGGGCGTCCCTCCTCCTCTAGCAGGCGCAGGCACAGGAGCCTCGAAACAGCCCTACGGCGCCGAACGCGCAGACGTCGCGGAGGAACAGGGATGGATAGCGCGCATGGTCCACCTCTTCCGATCCGACACGCTCGCCACGCAATTCGAGCTCCTACAAACCGCGCGCCGGCACTTCGAAACGGGCGGCGACCGCATGCGGTACACCTACCCCGCGCTCATCACGTCCGCCATCAAGCTCTGCAGGCGCTACAAGAACCGCGAGCACATCGAGGAAGAGTGGTCCTCGCGCGTCTCGTCCATCCTGCGCTTCGTGCGGCAGCTGACGGGCGTGCTGGCGAACAATGTCGAGGCGCCGGGCATTGCGCTTAGGCTGTTTTTGCTGGCGGCGCAGATCAGCGACGAGTGCGGGTTCCAGGATTTGACGTATGATCTGTACGTGGACGCGTTTACGGTCTACGAGGAGAGTATAAGCGAGAGCAGGAGCCAGTTGCAGGCGATCGCGTTGATCATTGGCACACTTCAAGGAGCGAAGGTGTTCGGGGCGGATAATTATGATACGTTGATCACCAAGGCGGCGTTGCATGGGGCCAAGTTGCTCAAGAAACCGCATCAGGCGCAGGCGGTGCATCTGGCTAGTCATATGTGGTGGCAGGAGGCGGTGGCGGCTGTGCCGGAGGAGGATGCGGAGGTCGAGGGTGAAGGGGCGGCGGCGAAGGGAGAGGGGAGCGCGAAGAAGGATTCTTCCGCTGCGCCTGCGACGCCGAAGAGCCCGGGCAAGGAGGCGGACAAGAAGACGAAGGCGGACAAGGAGGCGGAGGGCGAGGCAGACAATGACAATGCGCCGGCGTACCCGCATCAGGACAGTAAACGCGTGTTGGAGTGTTTACAGAAGAGCCTTCGGATCGCGAATTCGGCTACGGAGGATGTGGTCAAGACGCAGCTTTATGCGGACGCGCTTGATCAGTATATCTTCTATCTGGACCGAGGAGCCGCGGCTGTACGTGTTCTCTCTCTTATACTCCATTTGAACGTGAATGCTAATGCGCTTGTGTATCTCACAGGTAACGCCCAAATTCGTGACGCACCTCGTCGAGCTCGTCACGTCCACGATCGATGGTATCACAGCGCCCGACGCGCGCCCTACGGCCGGACTTCTTGAAGGCGTACACACACCCGATGCTATCGCGCGGCATTTCAGGAACACGCTCGTTTATATCAGTCAGAAGAAGGCGCTGGCGGAGGAGGGGAAGGCGAATGAGAGGTGGAACGAGGTGGATATCGTTGGGGCGTTGTTGAAGTTGGGCG